GGTGAAATGTTTCATGAGATTTAGACAGTGACAGAGCATTTGTTAACTTCCCCTGCCTCCCATTTTGAAACACTTTATGATTGATTTTGTAATATTTCATTTGAAATGCCATAAAAAGTAACCCAAATATGCCTACATATATACAAATGATACATGTGTGTCTCTGTATGTGTGTGGGTTAGGAGGATAGAAAATTGGAAATTAATGGATTCCTTATAAAATCTTACATTGTGTTGTCTCTGAAATTGCTTTGTCTCTAAAAGGGAGACATACCTAGTTTTAAAGATTCTATAGTATAACAAAATAGTTATCCATAAGATATTAGAATTGACTTACATATTGTAAATATCCTTTGATTGATATTGGATGATAATGTTCATTTAGTTAAATACTTTTGGAACACTAATTTTACACAGGATCAGAAAGATAGTCTTTAGGAACTGACATTTTTCTATGGGCTTAAAATTAAATACCCCCAAAAAACAACTCTGGTAAATAATTTAATAGGCTGGCATCAACTGCCCATGTGCAAGCACTTCTTATCATTTATACAAAGCTAACCTGATTTTTTAATACTAATTTTAGCTTATACCAAAATATATAAAAATACAAAATATCCAATTCTTGAATAGTTTTAATATTCCTTAGAGTCTTTGGCAATCTATTTTAAGAAAAGGGAGATTTTAAAAATGATTTACATTGTTATCTCATGAAAATTCAAGGACTGAGACAAGTACAGCCAGACTTCCTGGGAAACATAATTGGAAATTAGGCCACACTTTGTGTCTCTCAGGGTCCACATGGTCCGCAGTCACCTCCCTCACTTCCCATCTGTTCTCTACAGCAGCAAGAATGGTTCTTAAAAACATAAGTCTGATGTTATCATATAGTATTCCTTCCCATCTCTTTAGGTAAAAGCTAACCTTCTGATACAGGTTCACAAGCCCTGTGTGATCTTCCGGCTCATTCTAGATCTAATTTCATACCCAATCACTTGCTCTCTGGATCCCACTATCCCAGGCATATCCCTCCACCTTGCTACCTTTAACTCACCAAACACACCTATGACAGCTCCTTTGCACCTACTATGCACTTTTCCCTGAACATCCTTTCTACAAATATCAGCATGGGTGACGCCTTCACTACATTCAGGTTTCTATTAGAAGAACACATGGTCACAGAGGCTTCCCTGACCATGCTACCCTAGTAACACTTCCCCATTACTTTTAAACTTCATAACTGCTTTGTTTTTATTCCTACAGTTTTGTCACCTAATGAAATATAGTTTGTACACTGTGCATATTTACTGTCTATCTCCCAATACAAGAATAAGCTTCATGAAAACAGGGACTTTGCCTTATTCATTGTGACATCTCTGGCACCTAGAACAGTGGCCAGTACATAATAGGAACTCCATACAAATGTCCTGAAGGAATTAAATGAGGGGATGCTCTCTCTAAACTCTACTTCTCTTTGAGTCTGCACCGTTTTTATTTCTTTCTGCTAAGCTGCTTTCTCTGCATCGACTAGCATACAGCTCAGAACTGTGATATGGCCTTTAGCTGCAGTATTCTCCACCAACTGGTGACTTCTCTCTTTTACTTTTGGTCAGATTCCTGAAAATCTAATTGGGCAGGCTTATTTTTCCAGTAAGGCCACAGAAACCATACATTTCTGGCTAGTCTCTGGATGTACTCTTTTTGGTCAGGTATATTCTCCTGGTCTGATAAGGCTGAGCCACTTCACTGCATGGATGATTAGGTGTGAAGAGCTCTGGGCAGGCAGCCAGACAGCACAAACCTGTCTAGTACATAAAGCCATTGCAGCCACCTTGACACCAATGTTCTTTATTTTCCCAGGCCCTGCTTATGAGTATGACATCACTCCTCAATGCAACGTATCTACCTTCAGCCTCCTGATCAAATGACTTCTCTAACTTTTCTTTCTTATGTTTCTTTATTAGATATAACTATGCATCTACAAAAATTCTCTGATAAATGTATCTATGTTTCTGCCTTGATCCTAAAGGCAACCAAAGGTCCTTGCAATACCATTTTCCCCAGGCTGTTCCACTGGTGCTTTTGAATGGCATCAAATAAATCCCATGTGTTTTTTCAGAGATCCAGTTGTAGAGACACCCTAAGGTGAGCCCCAGTGTGTCACACTTTTGCATAATCCCCTCTTCTTTAGTTTAGTGTGGGAGGAACCTGTGACTTGCTTCTACCCAAAAGGCAATGGCAAAGGTGAAGAAATTTTGCAGATGTAATCACATTTCTAAATTAGTTGATTTTGCATTAATCAAAAGGGAGATTTTTCTGGGTCAGCCTAATTTAATCAGTTAAAAGTTCTTTAAAAAGAGACCAATGCTCGCCATGATAGGAAGACACATTTCCCGGTGGCCTTGGAGAAGCTAAGGAAATGAATTCTGCCAAGAACCTGATTGAATTTAGAAACACGTTCTTCCCTAAACAAGTCTCCAGATAAGAACACGGCCCAATTGATACCTAGATCGCAACGTGTGAAACTCGGGGCAGAGGATTCATCTAAGCCATGCACCGACTGCTAACCTACTGAAACGGTGACATAATCAATGTGCTTTGTTTTAATCCACTGCGGTTATGGTATTTTGTTATGCAGCAGTAGAACATGAACACAGATTCCTTATCCTAGTTTGTGTAAAAGACTTATTTCAAGCCCCCATGTTATTTTAGTTCTTTAGACCCCACTCTGTTACTTTGACTTGGAACTTTTTGTTTTCTTTGAGCTTTACATGCTAAATTGTAGAAAAAGAAAGAGTTTACTTCACTTCCTTAGTACACTCCTCTTTGGGGAGTTACTATTTTCCTATATTTTCTGTTGTCTCAGTGTCTTAAGATTAACTTTAGATCCTCTTTCAGGGAATAACACATGACCATAATACTTTCTTCCACCCTTAGCCATATAATCATCCCTTTTGCATGTAGTGTCAACTGCTATCATTTTGATCTTCTGTTTCTGATGAGCATGGACACAATGTCCTTGGCTATGAAATTTAAGTGTCTACTCCTGTCATTAATGTCTAATATTTTTATCTGTTTATGCATGTGAATATTTACTTTATTTTTTGATAAATTCATCCTTGAAATTCTGGGGAGATTTTGGACTTCCAAAATCATTAAAAATTGATGATGGAAATTTTTATCTCATAACTTATCTGTTACATCAAAATGTTCATATACTAAAATTTACTTGGGAAAAGTTGGACATATCGTGTTGGGTCAGTATTTATTACTTTATTATTACTTTGTTCTGCTTACAATCTTCAGCATTTGAATGTCTTGCCTTTATAAAAAGTTCTATGCAGCACTAATCATAGTGCAGAATATATATCTTATAATTTAAGAGTCAGTTAGTAAACTCATATATTTTTATATTCCAAGTGCTAAGCGATGAGGGTATAGAGACATGAAGATTTGGCAGTCTTTTTAAACCCACAAGCACATAAATTTTCAGAGACTTTACAAAGTCACAAAAATTATGGCATAAATATTTGGTACTTGCACTCTTTATTTTAAAAACTCTTACTTTACTTTAGAATATTTTTAATGCTCTTTGTATGAAAAACCAATATGTTCATTTATCATTCACATGGAAATAAACAATTGCGATAAAATATTTAAGAAACAAATTTCTTCTATGTTTATCCTGCCAGAAATTCCCAAACACAGATTTAAAATTGTAGTTATTAAGAATTTCTATTTCCTGCCCAGCCGGTGTGGCTCAGGGGCTGAGCATCCACCTATGAACCAAGAAGTCACTGGTTTGATTCCTGATCAGGGCGCATGTCTGGGTTGCAGGCTTCATGCCCAGCAGGGGGTGTGCAGGACACAGCTGATTGATGATGTTTCTTTCTCATAGATGTTTCTATCTCTATCCTTCTCTCTCTCTCTCTCTCTCTCTCTCTCTCTCTCTCTCTCTCAAAACTAATTTAAAAAACATATTAAAAACAAACAAATCTTAAAAAGAATTTCTATTTCCCAAAGGGGCCCCACAGAGTATGTAATCAAGCTCTGATCCTCATTTGCCTGGAAATACATACAATCCCTTATCTCAACCAATAGCTTCAAAGTTGAATTTTAATTTTAAAGGAAAAGTGAAATCCCAAATCTGGATGCCTGACAGAAGTAGGAATAGGAGTGGGAAATAAGGACAGCAACCATGTTCATTTTGAACTGTAGGGAGTAAGAAAACATCCAATAATCACATTTTTAAATGCATATCACAGTAGATAATTCTCTAAATGCCCTAGTTGATTAATTAATTAAGCTTATATCTCATTCAGGTATATAAATTATCCCCTTTAAGGGAAAGAACCTTAGGGAGATGCTTAGAGGGAAATTAATTCAAGGAGCTTTGGTTTAAATATTAAAGCCATATGAACATCCTATCACAAGAGCTATAATAGAAACTCTTTTTCCTTGTTATACTCCAGTCAGTATAATGCATTGATGAGGAACACACTAACGATTTCCAGAGGTAAGGTTTGCAATTTTTTAAAGTAGAGAGCATGTTTAACACCCACGCTGTGTTAGCTTAGAGGCATTGATTTCTCTTTTGGAAAGCTGCCCTTGAGTTCAATACCAAAATCCTGGAAACTTCTGATAGAATCCAGTGTTAATTCTTTTCCTTTGAGATGAGTCAAGAGTAGATTATTAATTTGCCATCTCTCATTTGTACATACATGAAATCACATACATGAAATTACTTTATTGTGAAGCATGAAAGAAATAGAACGTTCATAGGCAACAGAATGACTATTTTTGCGTTTGTTTGTTTGTTTCGTGTGCACAGGAAAGTGTAAATAAAACCAGTATGCTTATTTAACAAAGAATGTGCTGACATTCTTGTTCCACCGAGTTGCTCCAAGTTTGCTGTAGCTGCCTCTCGGCGCCTCCAGATGGCGCCCCAGTGCCCGTTCTCTCCGCCCAGTGGCGGACCAGTTGCCAGCTGCTGGGGAGAATGAGCTTGGAGCGGCAGGCTTAACCGGCGCGGCTGAGAGGTGGGTTGCTGATGGAGAGGCAGCTGCAACAGGGCATCGCTCATTATCCAAGTACATTCATTTCTGAGCGCACAAGGAAGAACTTAAGCGGGCGGCAGTTGGAGTGTAAATTGCTTTGTAGTATTTTAAAGCAGCATGGATCATGGGCAACTGAGCTGGTACGTGCGAAACTATTGAATGGAATTGTGCTGGGTAGGAACCCGTGTGATCATTCTTTATGTACCAAACGTTCTGTGTCCTGAATTGTGCCCATGTGCATACACTCATTTCATTTTCACCTAGATCATGGGGGTTTGCGAGTACAATCTTCCATTTTTCCAACATGATATAATAAAGGCTTTACAGTACATTGTTTATTGATAGAAATATGACCTGAGTTATGATCTAAAGAAACACATAATAATGGGACCAAAATACTTTTTAAATTGTTTCTTTGTTAGATAAAATAAATAAATAAAGTAAACCTAAACCATATTACCATATACTTTTACCAGATGTGACTTTTAAAATTATACATATATACATACATGTATGTCCATATGTATATATGTAAATATATGTGTGTCTTATATATATACATATAGATATATTTTAATTGTGGACTAGATATTAAATCATTTTAGTTATGGGTGCAGATATAAACACATCTGTAAAATATGAATTATTTTTACATCTGTGTGCTAGAAAGAACATTGTCTATACAGCTTATTCAAACATTATGATGAAAAATGCATATCTTGTGTATGTACATTTTGTATGGTGTAATATGCCATGTGAATGTGGGTTGTGTATGTGCAAGCAATAATATGTATATGTTACTTAGAATTATTGCACAGTTATAAAAGGGATTGTGATATATATGATGGACTTTTGTGCTTCCACATGCAACATTTCTAGCCAGATAACTTAGTATGAATATCATCTATTGACAGAAAAAAATCTGAATTTAAAGAATTTACTTTCACACATATATATTAAATTTCTACAGGTTCATTCATTACTCAGTTTTCTGTGCTTTTAAATTTGGGGGAAAGTTTTTTTTTATATGTGAACATAAAATATTGGCTGAAGGGAATATATAAAAATAGGACATATAGATATACAAATATAGATTCCCTGGACTTGAGATTACTACAACTGCAACCCATAAGAGCTCCAAAAGCTACAGAGTCCTCGAAGGGAGTTACATTAGAAACTAGCCAGAAAAGTGAAAGATTCAAAAGTTCAGAACTAAATTGGAAATAACAGAGGCTAAGGTTTTACTAGGTATTATTACTCTATAACTAATGTTAGACTACTTACCAACTTGTATGCATTCTCTAGTAACAAATGTATACATGAAGCAGATACTAAATTTTATGTCTTGCCATTTCATGGAAGCAAATATAACACAGTTTGATGTAAGAAATATGAAATGGGAGCTGTGTAAGTCAATATGCTAACCACAGCCTGAGATACCAAGAAAAGTTAGAAACAGTCCTTGCCCTCAAGAAGTTGCCAGTCAAAGGCGTAGAATGGACATATTCATGAATATGATTATCTAGTAAAATACAAATCAAAATAAAATAAATGCTACTATAGAGGGACATGTCCAAGATGTATAGCACTTAGATGGGTGGAGAAATCTAACTTAGGGATTTTAGTGAGGTCTTTTTTTTGGAAGGCATCCTCTCAGGGGATGAGTGGAAAGAATAATTTTGGTGGGTGAAGATGACAATGGCCAGTAAGATATTTAGTTTGTCTTGGGTACCACCTTCTTCATTGGTCTCAGATGAGCAGTAATAGATAACATTACATAACTAAGTATGGCAGTATTAGAGATGGCCTTGAACATCAGGCTGAAAGTTTTGGATTTCATCATTAGTTTATTCACAGTGTTATGAATGTGAGAACCAGTATGAAGTGTTACAATAATTTTAGACTTCATTTATTATCTACCATTTTAGAATATAGGCTCCAACATAAAGAAATATTTTATAATATTGTATCCATAGAATCTAGAAATTTCTTGAAAACTATTTATCTGCCATAGGAATGAGTGAATGAATGTTAGATGAGGGTAAGGCCAGGATTCTGTATTATTTACATTTAGTTTTTCTAATAGTCATCAATGATTAACATCCTCAAAATTCACCAAGTCTTTGAAGCTGTTGTTCCAGCCAACTCCTTTATGGCTCGGGTAATGCAAAGAAGATCCCTGGAATAGCCACTATTGATGTTTAATCTTACTCTGTTTTAACCTCTTACATTAATAGTCTTGCCTTCACATTTTTAAAAGGGTTATTAAGATAATTACACACTACATGATTACTCAGGCAGAACTCAGGCAGAATTCACTAGCTCATCTTGTATCTGTGCAGTAGACATATAATGGAGATATAACATATGTTAAACAAATGAATTCAGAGAAAGAGTTGAAGAGTTTGAGAAATGCTTTGTACTCTGCAATATATATATATCTCCCACATTCAAAGGCTGTTAAAACATGTTGTTTACCCATATCTTCAGAAAAAAATCACTTCTACTGATGTGGTAAACAACCTGCTTCCCTATTTATAATAGTCTGGCCCTCTAGCAACTTCAGCGTAAAATTATAGCTAATTTGCCTACAAATATCAGGTGGTCATAATAATCTGGCCACTCAGTGTATATATTAAAGTTCCGGTGCATGAATTCGTGCACAGGTGGGGTCTGGCTGCCTGGAGGAGGGGCTGTGGGCAGTTGGTTGGCTGCCTCCTGGTTGAACTCCCAGTTAAACTCCCAGTCGAGGGGACAGTTTGCATATTAGCCTTTTATTATATAGGATATATATATATGTGTGTGTGTGTATATAACTTCCTACATGAATGCTCCAAATATTTGCTAGTCTGCAACTTAGTTCAAACTCTCTAGAGTCTCTTTATAATTCTAGAGTGCAAAGTAGTCACCTCCATAGTTTGGGGGGGGGCATGAAGGTAGCATATTTGTGCTCCCAGCTTACTGTGCATAGGTAGTCCTTTTCTCTGTCCCTGTGTAATAATACCTTGTATGGACAATGACAGGCATACATAAAAAAGTAGTGAAGAAGAAATATTTTTCATTTGAAAGGCTGACACTAAGTACAAATAAACAGACATTTTAATAGGAATGTCAGTCAACTAAGTTATAAATGCATGTGTAGTGTTGGACAAATAAAAGGTCAAGTGAACAATGTCATTAAAGCAACAACATCAAAAAATAAAGTCCCTCGGGCAAAAGGGACTTTCTCCTTTTTCCCAAGAGAACCTGTCTATTGTGATGATGATTTTCAAATAGTAATTAATTAATGTATTTTTATGATTCGTCTAAAAAGATACAAGGGTGGATTTTCTCAGTTTAAAGCTATTTACTGATGGGGTTCCTATGTGTCAGCCAAACTGAGGATGCAGAAGTTGTTTCGCTTTGAGTGAATCTGCACAGAGTCCGGCTTTTTCTCACATCAATGTCAGTGACAAATACTTACAACAGTCCTGGTCTCTATGCTGCTGGACCTGCTGTTAATACTTTATTTGTAGCCCATGTGAAAGGAGGAAGTAAGATCAGTGACCAGAGACTGTCACCTGTACTGCATCCTGAGGGCGCGGCCTGACCTGGAGCCTAATGGATTAGGAAAAGCAGATCTTGTTCAAATTAAGCGGGATATTCAGTTTCAGAGAGATGCACTGCAGTGTGCACTGCAGGTTCCCCCCTAGTGGTTGACTTGAAGCTGTTGGGTTGCTTCTACCATGGAAATAGACTTTTCTCCATACACTGGAGCTAGTTTGGTCAAGACTCTCTGACTTATATTTTTAAAAACCTGTTTCAGGAGAGTGTTTGATTTTGTTTTAAATGACCCTTTTGAAAGATATGAATACAATGTCTTGGAAGACATCCCGGGTACTTTTCTGTATTCTTTGGAAGGCCTGGCATTCAAAAGTATGCAAATATAAAATATACACTGATAATGGGAAATGTCCAGGACTAGATCCCATATTGTGCTCCTCTTTCTTAGTGTAGAGAAAGCTTTTCTTGTTCCTCCGGTGTCCGGATGTCACTATTGTCGTTAGTCAGTGTCACTGAATCAGTTTCACATGATCTTTAGCCTTTCCGCCATACTGGAAACCCCTTAAAGGGAGGACATCAATTCTGTGCTTCCTTTGACTATTATACTAAAGGCACTGCCAGCGACAAACAGCAATCAAGTTTGTTTGTTTTTTGACAATGAAATAAGATTAAATTCTTATTTTTCACACAAATTCAAAGAAGTAGTTCTAGACATATAGCAGTGACTTCTAAAGGGCAAAATGGACGTCTTTAGAGCAGCTCGGTTCACTGGGGATATTACACTTGGCACACCATGGTAGAAAGACAGTTCCTTCTCCTCACATTAACTGTTTGAAACAGGACATCTTTTTAAAAATGATATTTAAAATAGGGAGGTCTCTATAAAGGTACAAAGCTTGCCTTTACTTGGTAAAGCTATTTCCATCTGGAATAGACACCTTCTGGCATACCTACGTCCCTGGGGTGTTGTGTAACTGCAGGCAGAATATTGAGAAGTCAGAACTGCTGAAAGTTAGGGCAAATTAGAAAGTTCCTAGCAGCAAGAATTAACCTTAGGGAACATGAGGGGCATTGACATGCTTTAGAGCTGTTCCTGAAAGGGAGGGGGGTGGCAGGGAGAATCGTATATATTTTTTTAAATAATGAGTATATTTCTAAGCATACAAGAACCTGCCACCTAAATGTATAAACATGAGAGTTAGTAGCAGCAAACTTCTATTCAGCAAGTGCTAGAGGAAAATAACAAAGGATTTGTGACTGTATTGCTAACAAGAGTGAAGAACGTCTCTTGTATTTCTGTTCCAAAGGCTGACTAACATCAATGGTTCCTGAGATGCCTTCTTTTCTGGTCTTAGGCTCATCAGTGATGGGAATAGGAGGGAGAGAGTATATAGCGGGAGCTGCAGCTGTGGGCACTCAGGTCGTTTGTCACCTGGCATGAAGTTAGTGTTGGCAGCACTGGAGTTCCAGCACGGAACACCAGCGAGAAAATGCCAGCTGATTGTTGTTTCTCACCAGCTTGTGGGCTAACTCTGACTCATGGCTCAGTTCTCTGCTGAAGTGTTGCTTCCTCCAGGGAGCTTTGCCCAACCTCTGT